TAATTGAAGTTCCTCATTCCTGAGTGAGCCACAGAGTTCACCTTCCCTTGCTGTAGGTAGAAACACCAGCACCCTGGTGACAGATACACAGGCATCCAAACCTTTCCAGGCAGAGCCAGAGGAGGTTTCTTAGGAAAGAGAGGGCATTGGAGTTGGGGCTTTGTGGGTTTGTAGGAGTTCACTGGTGGAAAGGGCATCCCTAGTGAAGGTGCTAGCACATGCAGTTTGGATAGGATAAGAGTCAATTGTGGGCACACCACCAAGACCCACCCCACCATGCAGGGCCTAGAGGAGACATCACTCAGACCCATGGGGACACAGAGTCAGTCCAGAAGGGAAAGAAGCTGGGATCTTTGATTAGGCCAGTTTTGCTGAAGACCTGCTGTTTGACCTTGGGCTTATGACTCAGCTATCATTTCCTCCTTGATTGAATGAGACTTATAACATTATCCCCATCCCAGCATCCTTGTGACAAAGACAGCTGATAAGCCCCTGCATGCTGCCTGGTACATAGTAGGCCCATAGTCCCAGGTTACCACAAGCATAATAATTATTGCAGCTGGGTGAGAACACCGGAGACACACTCCTCCTCGTCCGTTGGTGCTTTTTCTCGTTTTCATGTTGTGTTTTAGTAAGTGCCTAACAGATCAGCCACCATAATCTGATGAGATGAATACTGTTATCATTATCCCCGTTGTACAGATGGGGAAGCTGAGGCATAGTCAGGTTACAGTACACCCAAGAGGTGGCCATGCTCAGATTTGAACCTGGGCCGCCTGGCTCCAGAGCCTGAATTCCCCACTATGGTATGAAGCTGCCTCCAGGCCAGAGGCCAGAGGCCAGAGGCCAAAGGTCAGGGGTGGCTGGGCTGTGATCTGTCCAGTTACTACCTAGGGCTCTGTTCCCTGCAGTGGAAATGGTGGAATAAAGGTACTAAGAATTTTAGTTTTTCATTCATTTTTTAACACAGGGTTTTTCCCTGTGGGCACTGCTGATGTTGAGGTCTTGTCATTCTCCATGGGGGGCCGTCCTCGCCACTGTGGGGGGTTAAGCAGCCCCCACCCACTCGATGCCAGGAACACCCCCAGTGTGACAACGACAGATGTCCCCAGAAAAAGATGTCTTACCCCCATTTGAGAACCACTGACTTAACTTACACTGGTTGAATAAATGATATATTTACTGCTTGGCATTTTGCTTCACTGATAATTACCAGCCTTGGCCATGGTGGAGCTGAGATCATCCCTGTTTTCAGGTGGGGAAACTGAGGCCACAAAGTGGTCATTGTGATGAGGGATAGAGATCACAGAGTTCTAGATCTAGACTCAAATCCTGGCTCAGTTTTGTGACATGGAAGGGACTGTTCTCATTCACATAAGCACCTATTGTGTGCCAGGCGTAGGTTTAGACACAGGACAAAACAAAAGTCGCACCCCCTTATGGAGCTGCTAATACAGAGAGGGAGAGACACTAAGTGTGTTAGATGGTGGACATGCCCAGGAGCAACAAAAGGGGAAAGGGAGATGAGGGTGTGGGGGGTCAGGGAGAGGTCACAGTGAGTAGGTGGCATCCATGCAGAGACCTAGAGCTGAGGAGTGCACTTCACTGGTATCTGGGGAAAAGTGCCCCAAGAAGAGGGGCTAGCATGTGCAAAGGCCCTTAGGCAGGACCATGTCTGGTTTGTTGGAGGAACAACCAGGAGACCTGTGTGGCTGGAGCAGAGAGCGGCAGGGAGGGCAGGTTGTGCAGAGCTGTGTGGGCTTGGGGAGGACTTGGGCTTTACCTCTCTGGAGGTGGAAGTCCTGGAGGGCTGTGGGTAGAGGAGGGGCTGCACCTGACTCAGGTGCTCACTGGCACCCTCTGCTGGCTGCTGTGGGGAGGACAGACCATTGTGGGTGATGGGAGGAGCTGAGGGACCCGGTGGACCATGGTGGGTTGTGACCTAGGATGTCAGCTCTGGCATGTAGCAGGTGTTCCCTTTGTAAGTCCTCATTATTACTGTATTACTTTAGGTGTTGGTAGTGGTCTAGATTCAAACCCAGGTCTCCATCTTTAGGGCTGGGACATCTCCACCCCAGTAGGTGGGTCTGTTTAGCGGGAGCCCTGTCATCTGGGGCCCAGCAGAGGGCCTGTGGGCACCATGATTGGCATTGCCAGCTTCAGGGAGTGGCCCAGGTCCTCGGGGGGCCATCTGAGGTGGGGGGCTGTCAGGCTGCAAAGAGCCTGGGGGAGCAGCTGAAGTGTTCACAGCCGGCGCCAAGAGGAGTGATTTGTGCTGTGGAAATGGCTCCTGGGCCTGTGGGGCCTTTCCAGGGTGCTGTGGGCCGGCCCAGGCAGAGTGGAAGGAGACGGTGGGTGGGTCTGTGAATTTGGCACCAGATTCCTCTCTGCAGAATCTGAAATGGAAAAACAGAAATCAGGCCTTTCCCAGCCTTTGCACTGCTGGCCTCCCCACTTGGAAACTCAGTCTCTTCATCTGAGCCTCAGTCTCTTTGTCTAAGAAATGGGCACCCCTGGAGTGCTCTTAGTAATGAAAACCCACAGCCCAATTTATCAAGACTGCTGTTTGCAGGGCCTGGGAGCCAGATAGGATGGGGTTGGAATCCTAGCTCTTGGACTATCATGAGCTGGGTGACCCTAGGCAGGTCACTCACCCTTTCTGAGCCTCAATTTTGCCTGTGACACAGGTGTAAGAATAGTGCTGAGCCCCACCAGGCCTAGCACAAAATGAACATTTGCTGGCGTGGACCGCGCCCATACCCAGTGCATATTTCTTGTGTCTGGGCTCCTTTGCCAAGAAGAGGGGAGAGAATGAGAGAATCCGAGCATCCACAAGGAATTTTCTAGTGGTGGATGCAGTGGGTTGAGGAAGCTCTCCAGGGCTGGCTGGGATTTTGGAACCACCTGGAGAGAGGCAAAGAAGGCGACTGCT